GAGACTTTCTTGACTTAATTTTCTATTTCATAAATTCTAGAATACGCGAAAGCCTTTCGTCAATGTTAACATATTAATCGGTGTACCTGAATAATCACTGTCTCCAACTGCTCAGCAACACATTTTAGTCCAATTCTCGTTTCCGTACTATCTTGTTAACACATTTCTGTGTCTTCATAGATAATCATATAGCTAGGTTTAATCCCAAAGGATACTTAACAGGAGGGAAGTTTCTGCATACGAATTCTCCAAGTAATTCCTGCTGAAATGATTTTAAAATTCTATGACCAACAGAATTAGAGAATTAATTATACACATTTGCCATCTGATCTCATAACAAGTTAACCCTAATGATTAATTAGCAACCTCTCATCTTTATCTATGGTTTGACTAAATCAGCATTCCACAAACATCTCTGATATTTCCAGCTTGCTGGTTCACAGCATGTAATTGTTTTATTGTATCTGTTTTGGTCAGATACAACCCTCTCTGGTCAGTGGCGAATTTCCAATAAACACTGGGATTGGGAGTAGAAAACCAGTGCTAAGTAGTGACAGCTTTTCTGTGACCACCTCTTCTAAACTCAGTTTACCCAAAAGTGAAATGAAGATTTAGTATAATAGGGTCACTTATATTTGGCATTCGGCGTTGCACGAATCATCGTCTAATCTGCTTTATCAATACTCTTTTCTTTTATATCACAACAGATGTGCTCTTTAAGAGTACAAATGTGGTATATTTAAAAGAAAATTTCTCAATTCTCTTCATAGTACTTTACATCATCTGTGTGCCATAGCGAAACTGGATATATGCGTTACAAGTGTGTTGAAAGGAAGGCATACACGAAACTTCTGATTTTATATTAACATCTGACGTGATGCTAAATGATAGGAAGCAAACAAACTTGAAATCAGCATTTCAAGTCAATGGTTTCAGTGGTAGACGTGATGTGCACATGAAATAACCTCATTGGACAACTTGCTCAACCTTGGGCTAGTTGCCAACCTATCAGAACAATTTATTGCTCTCTGACCTAGCCGAGCTTTAATGTGGCTAAGAATGTATACATATGATTTATTTATTCATGACAATAACCCGTTACCAAGTATCTTATCTTCTCCCGTTACAAATATATTCAGTGAATAGAAATGAGTATTCATCTCTTTTTAGGCGAAGTTAATTAACACTGAACGGAATTCTGAATATGGCAGCTGCATAGTTTCATAATCACTACTCTCCAGTTGTAAGCAGTGTTCATTGACTCAATATGATCATGGTGATTACTTCAAATGGCTTTATTTGATTCCAAGAGCTGGTCTTAACCTTTTGTGAGTCATATGGAAAACAGGAATCATTCCACTTCTTTTTCATATTTCAGTGCCAGCCATTCAGGAACATATTCAAATGATGCTGCTGGTTTTATTCTGATAAATTCGACTAGTGAATCAACAAAAACAATTGGCAGTAACATAAAATGTCGAAAATATATTAACTGATAAGAAGGAAATTTACTAACCGCTTCTGGTTTAATCGTTTTACTTTTGACGATATTTCCTTTTTAATACAGGTTTCATTTAAAGTACTCATCCCAGATGTGTATTTTAACCATATTGTTTAAGCAGTTCATGCAAACCCTTCTAGAGTTTTAACTAACACAATTAAGGAAATACTCAGTCATTGTCTCTTGAATTCTTATTAAGGACAAAAACTAAAAGTCAATAAGAATAAGATATTTCTTTCAACACTACTTTAAGAATATTCTTCAACTACAGCTTTGAAGTTTCGGTTGGGTTAGTTTTATTAATACAGTGTGAGGTTGCCAGTCTCAAGCCCAGCCATCCCTCTTTACCGCCCCTAGGAGGTTTAGAATTGCTTTGGCCAGAGATCGAAGCTCAAACCATATGCGTGGTTGATGAGTGTTCTATTTATGAACCACCGATACACCAAAAAATAACGGAAGATTTCACAGTTTTGCATATCGTCCTTGTGCACGGGCCATGCTTATCTTCTCTGTATAGCTCCAGTTTTAGTATATTTATTTACCGTTGAATCAAAGCTTCAAAACCAACAATCCACTGTTCTTAGTATCTATCTGGCGTTACCTGCTGAATACTGAAGGAATACACAAATCTGCAGTTCACTAAATACTCATTAATACGCATATTTGAGTATGCAAAGTGATGTGACCAAGCTCACCTACAGGTAACTTATGGCTAATGCTTAACAATGGTAATATTTACGTCTGTACCAGCATTTCATTGACTGAGTTTGAGTTCAAATAAAACACAAACCGTAATCCTGATAACTCCTGTTCTGTGTTTTGTGGCCTAAACTATAAAGATGATATCACAGAGCATAGTGAAAAACTGATGTCTTACCGCATCCAACACACACACACACACATATACACAAACTATTTTCAAGCGGAAATGAGTGATTAAATTACGAAATTCACTACTGTCATTCTTGTTTTAATCATTCCAAAAGACTACTACTTGACTAATGCAAAATCAGCTATTTTATTTTATTGTCAAATAAACGCTGTCTAAATGATAGAATTAAAAGAACGGTGTTTTTTTTTCTGTATACACTTTTGAATAATTTGCCATAGCCTTCCTCACTTCTTTTTTTTTCTACTTATGTAAAATTGTCAGTGTTAAAAAACGTGGAATAGAAGACAGGATCAATAATAGAAATAACAGTATTTACTAAACTGAATAAGAATAGTGAAAATGACAAGTGAAACCCGTTGCTATCGTCAACAATGCAAATTGTGTATTACAGCAACAACGGAATATATATATATATATATATATATATATATTTAACGCCCAACAAATTACTTTTTACTGTGATCAATAATACCTTAAAAAAACCTGTGAATATTTCAAGTAGTATTATATGCAATATGTCTATTCACTGTTAATCTGTTGAAGAATCGTTGATGCTTTGTATTGTTCAGAAATGAAATGATTGAAAAGCATTTAACACAATAACATCTCGGTTAATCCACATGACTTTAACATCCTATGACTAAGTTAACTGTAATTCGATTAAAATCATGAAAAAAGCTTATATAAGAAATCAGGAGCCTATTTGATAACTTAAGGTGTGTTTCTTTAGTGTATGAACATTGCTAACGACACATTAATGATCAAGTTATTCAGTACCACTGTTAAATTAAGCGATGTACAATGTTAAACTGCCTGAGATGTCTCAGTATGGAAAGAATACAAATCTTCTGCATAGTTTCAGTATTTGGAAGCAATACTGGCTACCTTATCAAACTACAAAAGAAGCGCGATTAACGCCTCTGTGAGAACTAACGTGGAGTAATTTTCTTCTCCACGCCAGGTAAAATACTAAGCATCATATTGGAGAGAATAGAAGATGCACTGGATGCAGAACTCCAATGAGAACAAACCATGTGCGAGTCAAGATGCAACTCTGCACATCATCATAGAACAAGCCATAGATTGGCAGTCAAATCTCTACCTCAACTTCATCGACTTTGATAGGGTCTTCAACAACACTGTCTGAGAAGTTATTTGGGAACTACTTCAACACTACGGCGTGAAGTACTCCAAATCTTTATCAACCTAATTCAACAGTTGGCTATATGACAATGGTACGTGTCAGGTTATCTACAACAGGAAACTCAGCGAGGCACTCGAAGTGAATATAAGAGTAAGACAAGGCTTCTGCCAATTATCACCTAAGATGTTCCATAGTTGTGCAGAATACTATGTGGAGGGGGAATACGTCAGACCGATTAGAAGTTTCTAGAAGATTTCGACTTCGTAGATGATTTGTGTCTAGTATCAAAAAAACTCGAAGGTCTACAGATGGAAATCAACCAGTTGAAGAGATAAGCAGCGACGACAAGATTCCAAGTAAACGTAAAGAAGATAGAGGTGATTAAAACACCTAGTAGTTGAAGGCTGTTAATAAACAAAAATTTCACAAAATCATTTACTACTTGTCATCTCTGAATCCCATGGATGCAATACTGTAGTAAAATGCTGAGAATTTCATTGTGTATCACAAGTACTGTTTTGGAATAAAGCAAATTATTATTATCTTATTATTCGCTCAGTTCGCTTGCATTGAATTTCTTTCTCTACTTTTATGCACACTTTTTTTGAAGTGTGACAAATTAAACTGATGCTGTTTTGTGTAGATTTCTAAGCTGATAAGGCAGTCACTGCGAATTTCGTCTTGCTAAATGAACATAAGGCCTCTTAACTGGATGAACACTGAGATTTGAATTATGAGATACAGAACCTTCAAACATAAGTAATTTTAGCATCCCTGTAGACACAACAAGCATTACTGGGAAAATTTTGAACTAACCACAGTACTGGTCTGTTTTTTAACATTCCAACTACACATGATTAACAAAATTAATAATTTATACCCTTAAAATGCTTTTTTTTTCTGGTTTACATTTTACTTAGGTATTTGAAAAAAACACATTCTGAATAGTTGTTTTTCCTTCCTCTTTTTAAACTAGAGAAAAAAATACTTCAAATTGACCGATAGCATTTACTAACCAATCCTGGTTTCATCCAAATATGAAGATAAATATAAAAAAATTTCTTGTGCTTTTGATGATGATGATAGTGCAATCAACTGTAGTGAAAATTTACTTCATTCAAGATGTATAATATAGGCAGGTCTATATAAGACATGATTTTAATAATTACAGCTTCGAATGCCTGCTAAAGCTTTAGCAGCTAGACTGAATAGTTCATAACTGCCATAATAAACTGAGTCTTTTGTCAAGTATCATACAGGAAATTGGCAACGAAAAATTATGATACATAGATAATAAGTAAATTCAGTTTTGAACAACTAGATTGTCAGAACATACAGGCGAAGAAGTTTGGTGTTTGAGCAGAGTATAACAAGCAAATAATTCTAATTAAACAGACGGTCACTTTTTTATGCATAAGGATTAAACAAGCTTAGAGGGTGAATACTCTTATAGAGTGTCTGATGTGTAACTAAGCGTGGTTACTTAGAGTTTTCTTCCAAAATCAATCTACTACTTTACACTAATTGCTGCTGTACATCCTCTGTGGATTCCGTTACACATTTTAGATTAGTTAGACGGTCGGACACAAGGCTAAATCACAGTGACACTATTTTGTGTCAGCATTCACAGTATACTGCTTACAGGGATCAATGTATACGTGTTTATACTCACAGGAACACTTCCATAATGGACAACAGTTGTAAATACACATAGACGCAGAGTAAAACAGAAAAGTACTAGAATAACTGTCTACACTATGCATACAAATTTTTATATATTTATACATGTAAGTATATTATATTTAAATATGCATGTTTTAAGAAAAACATCTGAGATACATTGTTTTCTTCAATGAGGTTCTTCAAAAATAAAAAAAAGAAATTTACTTGGCAACTTTCGTGTTTCCCTTCAGCAAGGAGATAATACATTTTTGCACATATGCAAGGAAAGCATATTTGTAATATGCTAGCGTTAAAAGAAAGCTTATTTTTAAATATATATATATATGAGCATAAATGTCTTAATATATGTATACATAATATATATGTAACTTTTAGGAATGTCACAGCTCTATCAAGAGATCGCCAAGACGAAGTGGATAGAAAAAAATTACCTACACACAACATGTATATAAGGAGTAAGAGCAATATGTATATATTAGTAGCATATTAGTATTGGAATTGAAGACCGGGGCAGCAATAGCGTATTATTATATATCACATCTACATCTCTTTACACACCTGAGAGAGATAGATACATTATAACATTTATCAGGACAGTCAGAAAGAATAAGATTAAAATGTAAATCATAGAAACCGTCAGAAGAAAAGAAAAGAAAAAGAGGACACTTGCCAAAATAATCATCACATATATGAAATCAAAAAAAAACCGAATTAACATCAAAAAATAACATTCTGAAATGCAATTTTCAAAAATAAAATGTTATAGAAAGAATGAAGGAGTTCTACTATAAGGATTAAAGAGAAAGAGAGAGAGAGGGAGGGAGGGAGGAAGGGAGAGTGAGTGAGTAAGTAAAGATAAAGGAAGAAAGACAAGCATGCTCTGCATACAGACAGAGACACTCTATAGATCATAAACAATAAAAGATTGATAATAAGTGGGTGTGAGAAGCAATTATTAAGATGTTAAATGCTTGGAATGTGAGATGTAATAAACTGTTACAGAAACAGAAGTATGCATAACCCATACATTTATTTATATGTTTTGTACGCTTAAAATAAAATAGTTTACTATACAAAACAAAGTTATTCATCTTAGAAAAATGAAAATAGTTAACATAAATGTGCATTGTATTTCAGAATAAAATTATAAGAAAGAAATAAAATTTATTACACACATACATACGCACACACAAATTATATTTAAATTAGAAGTAAAAAGTGCATATTAGATGGAGAGGAAAAAATTTCTGGATGAAAGACATTGTGGTTCATTGTCTACTCTTCGCCTTCTACTGCTCCTTTTGAACAATATAAACAACAACGATAACAACAAAAATAAACACACAGACTATTTGTAAGGAGAGCGAGGTGAGTGTAAAGGAAAAGTGTAAGCTGAAGGTGAAATTTCTAGCGCTGAAAATAAACACAAAGTTACGAAGATAGTAGTACAGAAGTTCTACGCATATAGAGTGCCACATAAGATCCAAAGCTACACGTCACGCATACATGTATATATGTGTCCGTCTTTTTTGTTAACATGCAGATTCATCCGGAGGTAGGATTTATTTTGCACACACAAACCGGCATATATATATATATATACTCGAAATACACACAAATATGTAGGTAATAATAATAATGATAATATTGGTAATTGTGTATTGCCTTGATAGTTGAACAAAGAATTGTTTGGTAAAAATATGAAGAACAAGAAATTACTGGTGTGATATGTAATGGAATAAATAAAGAAAGGTGAAATGAAGAAACCAGCATACACATACACGCTCCCGCGCACACACACACACACAAAATGACCAATAGAGCATGTTAATATCAAGAAAACTTTGTGGTTCGATATAAATAAAGTTAAAGAAGAAAAGAAAGAAGAAAAAGTTGTAAATACCACTTTGATGAAAATGATGGAGTTGTTAAGGTACACTTCCTTCATTCATCACATTATACACGAAAGCACATACATATATACGCCTGACTCCATGCGTAATACACAGCCTAATTTATACTGAATACAATGGTGTGTTGTTGTTGTTGTGTTCTTTTTCTCTCCAAGTATGTCCTACGAATACATAAGTAAGCTGTCCTAAGCATAAACAAAATAAGAAGTAGCAGTCTTACAGGTAATCAGTATTGGCATGTTCTGCCTTGAACACTGTACATGAAATATGGTGCATTGTAAAATTGAATTAGTACTGGTATATTGTGAACACATACAATAAGGAAATAAATGAATGAAATAAAAATAGTCCTTGTAATACAATGTTGGTAATGAACAATATCGTCTAATATTATTAAATATATATATATCACTGTGTACAGACGATAATTGAATCATTTGAATAGTGAATTGGTTCACTTGGTCTTTGTTTTTCAGGTCATCCATTTAAATAGTTAACAACAGAAATGAAGGAGGTATTACAGAAATAAATCATTCACATGATATATATAAATATATGTGTATAACCTTAAACTATATATCAACTGCACGTGTTGGTCGAATAAGATACATAGTTGAATCAGGTCTTGATAAACGTTCAAATGTAGCAACAGAAGGCTGTGATGCATCCTGATACGGTTTAATTAGTAGATATGGTGACTGATGTTGTGCATTTGAATAATTAGCCTCGGCCATTGAATCACATGTAACAAAGTTTCCAACAGGCTCAGTCTATAGAAGGAATAATAATAATAATGAATATGAGTGTAAAACAGAAAATGGAAATTCTGAAGTTACATAATTCTAATATATATATATATATATATAAAGTGTGCACAGACGTACATGTATATACATGTGCACAGTGACAACAGCAAACCATCAATTTTCGTGCAGTTGTAAAGCACACCAGAAAAAGCATTTTTGTAAGCCGAAATAACACATAATAATAATTTGAAACAAGAGAAACATTTATGCTGAGTATAAAGTTGGTAATAAATATAGCCAGAAATTATATAAATGACGTGACTAATCGACTAAAGCAATACAGAACCTATACCAATTTTGTCCCGAGTAGATATAATAATAAATTCGAAAGACAGAAGAAGAAAAAAATGAACATTAGAAGTGATACAATTAAAAGAAATCTACAAAAGGCCATATACAGATTTAATATGGTGTAACTGATTGACTGACTGGTTTAAGAGGTGCGTACAACGACATTGAACGCAGTGAAACATTTCAAGGAATATCCTGACATACTACCATCTTCTGCTTCGTTGAGCCATAAAAATATCAGAAGACAAAGATTTATCTGTGACTGATTGTGGCTATATATATATATATATATATATATATATATATATATATATATATATATATATATATCAGGTACTGGTTTCGAGGGATTCGATTAATTACAAGTTCGATCACTAGCTGCCATCAATAGAGAACCACTCGGAAACCAAGGAATATTGGACAGATTTTCTCCTCCTATTTTTAAGACTCTTCACAGTACTCATCCACCAAAGTTCAAACTCAAGACCTTTTCGTTACAAATCGAGCTCCTAGATCATTGCACAAACATAAATTTGCGCTAGACTAATGATGTAATCGCTTGTCCATACTGATTTTATGAAGTTGAACACTGTTTAACAAAATTATCAGGTTCAAATAACAGTGTATATCTAAATTCGGAACACAAAACCTTGACCTCAATAACCAAGGACTTAAGAGATGGACTCCACTTTCTCTCAGAATGCATATCTACCAACCAGGATTGTCCTTCAAGGATACTGATTAAAATTGTCGAAAATCAAACTGCCAATCGTAATAATTTCGGTTACCAGATGTCAACTATATAAATTTCTCACTAGCGTAAAACCTTTTGTAAACAAAACTTATTTTTCTTTCTTTCACGTTCCCCGGTGGAACATAGGGCTTCAAGTTGGTGGCTTGAAGTTTCTGCAACAGCGTTTATTTTTACAGGATGAGGTTGCTAGTCTCATGCCTGACCATTCCTCTTTACCAGCTTTATTTCTGGCTTAGCGTGGTAAAGGAGTGCGTCGTCTGGGGATCGAACCCCGGACCATGTGCATGGTCGACGAGCGTCCTAACCGCTATACCACCGACGCACAAACAAAACTTCTACAAATATGTAATAGGTAGAAAGAGGAGATTACTACTACATAATTTATTTTGGACACTTGTCTCCATGCTCTTTCATTAACATTCAATTTTTCCGATTTTCTTGCCTATTACACAACCCTTGTCAATACCTACTAATCTTCACCCACCTACTCCTTAGTTATTTCTACAAATAAACGTCACAACTCTGAATTCTAAATTATAAGTCATACATATGATCAAAGAACATTGACAAACACACTGTATTAGCTGAGTCTGACTTAGTTATAATCATAATTCGCGCGTCGGTGGCACAGCGTTTAGGACTCTCGCCGACCATGCACATGGTCCGGGGTTCGATACCCTGATGACGCACACCCGATATCTATGGTCGGCCTGCAAAACTTGGACTACCGATATCATACTTGTATCAAAAATACGGTGTGGAATCAAGCTGTTATCAAAATAAATAAATAATGAAGAAGAATTGCAGTGTTATGACAATTCGCTCTCCTCCAGTAATCATTAAGACAACTGTTTGGAGGCGAACCAAGAAGGCTGATAAACACCTTTATTGTAATTGGCTAAACTTTCTGGTTTCCTTATCCCTCCTCACTTTTGGCCACTTGATAGTTGACCATACAGTCACATCATGTTTTAATGTTCCCACTCAATATTAAATGAATTTATTCGATATAAAGAAGAGTGACATAACATTATTTGAAAGATAAGCAAGACCGGATGAAAACAAAAATCTGTTGCACAACATTCTAATGTGTTAGTGGTAAAAGAAACATGTACCATTACATTTTTTTCACACTGGTTGGTCTTTGTGGTAAACATTACTCGTGAAACCATTGCATCAGTATATTTTCATTGACACATCAAAAATTAAGCCCGTGATGACAATTGTGAGGACTTGACCGATTCAAGAGAACGAAATAATTAACAGTTTGTGAGAAAATTTTAAAAGACTACTCTCTTTCACAAACCATTTGAGCTTATGAGTTCGTCTACGATGTTAATTATGAAACTATGAAGCCGAAAACCATCCAAATTACATAAAGAAACCTCACCACAACTAGATTAATATTCCTTAATTAGAGCATCCTTCATTTAAATTGGCTTATAATCGTTCCATATGAAGATGGATAAAACCATAAGCAGGGAGGTAGCCAATCATATCTTAAGCAATAAAAAGAAATACATAAGGATATTTTTAGACTATCAGGAGAAAGAAAATGAAAAATTGCATCAAAACAGTGCATGAATCAACTGCTGAAAACAACATAATTCACAAGTATAGATATATTTTCCAAACGCATCTTGCACTTCGATTCTTAATTATCACAATACGACATCCATCCATATAGTCTGGATGAAATCACTTTTCTGGTGCCAAAAACTGAACACGTGTTCCTATTTCCATAGCCAAAGTTATCACCAAAGAGACAAGTGATAAATCACAAATCCTAATCGTTAAATACTACTAGTTAGGCAGTGAACAACATCCTAGGTACCATTTAACGACAACCTAATTCATAATAGATCCAATTTTTGACTACATGCAAAAATAATATTCTTTCATTTGAATGCAGCAAATACGGACCTCTTCTCATCCCACAGGTTTAGAGTTGAAAATTTTAAAACCACTTAAAGTAGTAGTCACGTATTCACTAATTATCCTTACGTCTGAACCATGTAGAACTTTTCTTTTGACCCTCAAAGTCGTCTATAAATTGGGAATTAACGCCTTACCACTATGACAGGCATAAATTCAAAAATATTACAAGCGTACAACTACAATTACTAGGTGTCTCTGGAATTAATCATGACCTGCTGCTCCAGGATATTTCAAGTAATTTTCTCTCTACTGCCTATTGTTGTTCGCAGGACAGATAAAAATACATTTGTGTTATTTTCTGTTATACTTTTATCTTTTTATCTGTTGTCGATCAATATAACTAATAAATAAGAGCAATCATCAGGTTAATCATGAATGAATTACTACATCATGACCTGTTTATATCTCCAGTGAGTCAATGATAACTGTGGAATTCAGGAATTCTTAGAAGTGATGATCGTAGGCGAACAATGCTGTAGAGTGTTTACCACCTAATACCTAAATTTTAGTGCCTTTTTTCAAAAAATATATCGTTCTACGACGATCTTTCAGCTAAGCTGACTGCGTCTACTATTGAGCAGACAGACTGTATTCCCTAAAATAATAGATACAAACAAATAGCGTTGTTATTCCACTAAGGATTGATAATCATACTATGCATAAGTTAATAGAAAGTGTCATCATCTACTGTAAACATCCATTGGTAGGGTTTTTGAAGTTAGAAATATGGTATTCAACTATCAACTAATGGTCGTTAAACTACTTAGTTAGTTATATGTAATATGTCAGTTGAAAATGTTTCAGGCAAGTGAAGACCTTGCATGATATGACAGGTACTAGTTATGTTCATATTTCTTTGTACTCTGAAATATCCTTCCAACTACTTTTAAAAGCCTAGTGACCTGGACTATATATATACATATATATATATATATGAAATAGAGAGGGTGGGACAACAAGTATATGTCGAATTCGCACACGTGAACATTTCAACCTTTATACACATAGAACATGCGTACAAACGCAAGACAAGTAAATGAACAGACGAACACGCTGGATGATTGGATTCATGACACTAATGGCCATTATTGATTGATCAATTTTCCAAAACAAAAACTTTTGCATCGATCCTAAATGCCTATGACTTGTCTACCCTAGTGTAAACAGCTTTATCTTTAAGAAAATTTAAACTCCGCAATAATTCTTGTCGTAACAGAAAATTTCGGCTGATCATATAGGACATGTTGCAAAGTCACTCAAAACACATACGATAATGAGTGAACTAGTATTTGGACGCAATTATTTTTGTGTATTTGAATAGCCCAGCAACATGTCTCTTATACCATCTCTTATTCCGAAACAATTTTAGTGTGAAATAATGCAATCAGCCTTACACAAGAAAAATTGCTTTTAGCTTTGGCTTGATAATAAAACAAAATTATAGGCCGTAAATCATCTGTTAGATAATAGTTGTCTTAACTTGTGAAGTGAAGCGCTATTTCTTCCCTCCCAGTATTGTTTATACATTTTACTCACGAATGAACCAATTTCTCTCAAAACAATATCTTCATTCTATAAGAATTAACTATAATAATAATGCTGTTTAACAATCCTGTAGAGGTCTTTTTATTACTAAGGCCATAAGTCATACCTGATATCTGACGGCTTGTAGTTACTACCTGATCATCCTCCGACCAAAGTGAGTAGAATAAGTGTGAGCCTGTGACCTAATGCTTGGTAGTAAAGTACCAATACAAATGAACCACAGCTCTATTCACGCTGACTAACTGCAACAATGTAGAACCTGAAAAAATTAATGTATTTGAATGAAATATTTAGGTAAACTTCAAGGATATGATTAGATGCAGAATAAGCATCCAGAAAACAATATTATGCATTATTCCAGGAAAAATCTACTGTATGGAAGTATTTAGCGTAATAAAGTATCAATTGGACTGCAACTCTTAGTGTCCCAACATCTAACGAATTCAAGCTGGAAAACTACCAAACTCACGGGATTACCACAGAATGTCAACATCTCCAACATTATAGCTTTATTTCATGAGAACTGTTTTTATCCAACTTTTGCTTCACATAGCATTCATTTGTTCAATGCGTATCACCATCTGAACTGACCAATTCACCTGACTTTCTATAACCTTGATAGCCTAATCAAATTGTTCGCCCAATAGTATGAACTTACAAACACAAATAATACTTTTAAATAAGGCATTAAGAAGATAAATATTCACGCATGATATCATTGCGCAGACACTCGACAATCACTGTACAACTGGCATGATTAATGATAAAAAAAATAGAATGTTCAACAAATTAATCAGTTGTATAAAACAAAAGTGCCATATTAATAACCAATAGTATTTTAATAGGTCAAGTAGTCCGGAAAAATAATACCAACCTAAAAGTGACAAGTATGTTTTGTGCTAACCGAAGTGATTATGAGTTGACTACAAGCTTTGCTAGCTATTAAAACAAAACGATGATCATCATACTTCCAATTCTATGTCTAAAATGAAGCTAAAAAGATTTATCAGGTTATCAGTACTAATGTTAAATAAACAGACAAAAATTATTCAAGTGGCCCTTTCAATAGTAAGGTTAATTTCCTAAAGTTCCTTAAGTCGGGCGAAGTGAATGTCACCTGTACTCAAATCTCCATTAGTTTACTGGATGATGATAATGATGATGATGATGAAAGTTATCTTGAGGGAATTCTGAAGCTCTGAGATGAAACTGGAAAAAAATTGTGATTCTGAGAAAACAGTTATTTATATATGGTCAGGAAAGTGGGAAACATTTCACAATAGTGCATCAGTTTTTATATACACTTAGAAACAACTTGGTGAGCAAAAACACTATTTTGAACAATGATATATAATAAGCAAAATAAATTTGCATCGATTAATACAGTGTTAAAATGAAAGATATGCATCACCGGTACAGCATGAAGTTGTACTCACTAATTCAAATTACCATGACGAGAATCTAAATCGAAAGGCTCATACGCATATTATTATTTGCATACACATAAAGCATACCATTGGTCGATTAACTCTGACAATAATAATAAATGAGGAAAAACTTCGTTATTGTTAGAAATTTTTTTTTCTGTAAACCTAACTTTAAAAATCCCACAGGATTCCTTAGGAGTCTTAAATTAATCATAGAGAAGTCTGTTTTTAAACCATGATAATTACAATCAATTAGCATACTCAATTTCATTTTGAAAGAAAGGCCCAGTGCTTCAACTATAAAATCATAATGTTACTGCAACCATGCCGACAGAATATTCCTTCAAACTCGCATATTAAACACCACGTAATTATTTATAAAACAAAATAGTGTGAGAGACAGATAAAAAAAAATGGCTGTGATTTATAGCTATAAAATTGTACATGACTGCAGAGTTTTGTTATTTCGCCTGGTAGAACAATCTAGTTAAAATACAGCAGGGATTATCACTACCGTTCAGAAATGCATAACCTTTCCAAACACTGGTCATCAGTAAAATGAAAAACATTTGTTAAATGTCTGACATTAAATTTTTTTCAAATAGCATTTATGAAAAGGCGAGTGGAAAATTCTTTCTATTTTGAAGAAGTTGTAGGAACAATTTTTGTCTAAAAAGGATAAAAATAGCACGGGTCAGGATTTACCTCACAACTAAACTAAGTCGTCATTGCTGCAGTCAAATCTCAGTATATGACCTTCCAATCTTATCCAACTTTAATAGTGAGATGTTTTCTTTTGGCTTTTTGAATGTGTTTCAAGGAGTTTACGAGTGAACTTTTAAAAGTACAGTCATTTGGTATTTGATTGGTACACAGCATCAAAATAACTGCTTTGTATTCCTTAAAAAGGACTAATTAAGGTCTAATATAGTTTTCAAGTATTGGTTTGTAGGGATTTGTTTGATTGATTGGTGACAGGATTTCATCATGAGCTAACATTGGTTAGAGAACCATTGGAAAACCAGCTGGGAGTACTGGACAGCTGTTTCGTACTAGTTGAAGACCCTTCAGCAGAAGGCAATAAATAAGTGCACACTTGACCCCTTATGAGCAGTTTTGAACCGTATCACAAAAGCCTCCAAACATTGAGTTTTAGTATTTCGAGAAGACCAGCCAGATAATCTCCACCTTTATAAGGTGGTTATGGCAATAGACTTTGACTTTATCGATTGGTGCTGTGTTTTCCATAACCACTCCTAACACTTTTCTAACTTAATCTTACTCCACCTAATACTGTTCTTAGGGTAATTGCATGAAGTTACCTATTATCAAAAACCTATGACCTTTTCATTTTTTTTTACTTTCAGTAGTCATTAGTACACAACCAATAGACAATAACGGAGCAAACTGATGAACAGGAGAAAAGTCTCTTGGTTGTTAGTGTAGCAGGTGACAAAAATGATGCTAAATGCACCTAGTTAAGAGATCAATCAACAGGTGTGGATGCAGTGTTTACTGAATAACTGAAGTAGCCAACGTATGCAGCCATTTCTCGACTTATAATTATGCTAAGATTGGATGCACATCATTACTGCATACCAACCGTACTCAGTTAGACTTCTGCACTCTGTCAGTGTTTTAATCTGAAAGGATTTTATTGCCTGACTAATCTGTATCAAAAACAGCTTTCTGTGGTAGTTAAATAATTTTTGAACGATAAAATTAAACAGAGTTACAATCACAATCACGTCTACAATCAAATAAAGTAAGTACACTGACACTGTGCATAGTTAGAGGAACAATATCCCTAGTAATTGTAAACACTTGACGTGCACTGTGTAGTTTTGGTGGTATCTTTTGCCTTTATTATTCCCCATTGTCCATGGAAGTTGTGAACACATTTAATGAGCTTAGTCTTGGGTAAGCTTATCAATATATTCCACAACCTTAATAATCTAGTATTCATCTTTTAAGCACAACACAATACATATATTTTTAAATAATTTACAATGATTCAATCTGACTCGGCGCTGAAATTATTCCAGGAAATTCGTAACATCTACGGTCTGGAAACTTACAATATATATCTTATTTGTTGCCTTCTTATCTATCAACATGCTAATGTAATTGTACATTTAATCCCTGTATTATATGCTTAATCTCACTGTCATCTTTCAATACTATGTACTTGTAAAAAAAGAGGAAAGTAATCATGATATTTCAGAATATTTTTCACTGCTTGAATTTGTCATAATGATTTCTTACTATAATATACTGACTTTTTCCAAGTATTGGTTTTGTAGGGATTCTGTTGAATTGGTTGCAGGATTTCATCCTGGGTTGACATCAGTTAGAGAACCATTGGAAAACCAGCTGGGAGTACTGTACAGCTGCTTCGTCCTAATTTGTGATTCTTTAGCAGTACGCGCTCACCGCCAGGGTTCAAACCAAGGACCTTCTGGTCAAAAGGCGAGCTAGCTCGTAGACCGTTAAACCACTGAGACCCGATCCAATAGCCAGCGCATGAATTCTAACTTCTGCCAGTTCATGATATAGCGCAACTACTTCGCAATAACTTCTTCGATGAGTTACTGCCTCACCTTTAACCTGCTTCACTCTACTGATCACGGCTTCCCACTAGAACCTCAGGTAACTGCTTGAATAGGGCCAGTAGCTAGTGGGCATCAGATCGATTTTCAAGTATTGGTTTTGTAGGGATTTTGTTTGTTATAACTGCTGTGAATTAAATAGGATTTTTTTCGAATAATTCAACGCATGTTGAATTTCCATTTATTTGATTTTGCAGAATATAAGCAGCTGGTTAGAAAGCGACAGGAAAAAAAAATCAAAACATGTCACTCTGCTTAGAATGTGTTTTTTAAAACAATCTTGCGTAAACATAACTAACGTAAAACAATTACAAGCAAGTACAGGAATTACAGTATAGGTGGTGGGTTGAAAAACAAACTAGGCAGTAAAAAGATAATGATAACAATCAAAATTCTGTTTAAGAAAATATATAATGGGTTAGTCAAGCCCACACAAGACTAAGCTAGTCTGAATCTAGTTATTTAAAACTCCAAATTATGTCTTAGCTCAGTCATCATTGATGTTCTCAACACAGAATCATCATTTACACGGGGAAGTCAGTAGACAAATACTAACCGTTATTTATACCGCGTTTCAAATTAAGGAACTGTGTTAGGCAATCTAACTATTTGATAAGTGGCAGTTATTTAACTTCGGATTGTGAAGCATATATATATATATGTATATAGATTCGGATTAAACGAAAAGATATGCAGTGATAATTTGGCACTAAGAGCATGACATGCAAGAACAACACCGAATGACACCCACTGATACGATGACAAACCAACACCAGCATTCAAAAATACAACACTAGAAAGATGTTGAGTTTTCTAGGAGTAATAAAGCACAATTAATACACTTTACGTACGAAAATATTAGATGTGCATTGTGCAGTTTAATGTGTGTGTTTTAGAAGAAAAAAGAGAAAACAACACTCAGACAAAACTAACTTTTTAAAGAAGAACTTTCTTTGCGATGCATTCTGTCAAACCAACTGTTTAATAATTATTGTATAAGCAGTCCGTATGAAAAAAGAAAATAACAGGAAGCAATTAGTTATTCATTGTGTAGATGTGATTCCATCTAATAAATAAACTAGAAAGTAAATATTATCCATTTGAAATAGTTGAAACTATTGTTAATCGGAGACAACCATTTCTTACACGCGAACAGACAGCCTCATAATTGACTTGCTCATTCAAATTATTACCTCATAAATTTAAACAGGCATATGGATCTAAACTTGAAGCTAAAAGACAACTCACAGGAGTCAATATTAGAAAACCTCAGTACGTGTATATTTTCACCTCTTATAACCGTTCAATAGTGTGGGTTACCTCTGTCTTTAACATATACAGTGGTTATCTTTCAGTGTAGGTACTGAACTCAATCTTTCTAACTGAACACATATACTTTTCATATATTTGATTCCCTTGATAAATTTCGATAGAGAAAGAAAGATCAGATTTACAGTCTAAAATGATGCCATCATTCTATTTCACAGGTTCTCATCAGCTAACTGCAAACCACTACCTGAAATTACAATGGTTATAAATAATAACATTTCATACTTCAATGTTTGAAAGGTAATACAGAAAACATTATAAGGTGAATGCGTCCGGAATATAAGTATTATAAATTATAGTTTAAGTTACCATCAAACTATGAAGAAAGAAAAAGGGGAGGGGATTGAGAGAAGACGGAAAACAGAAGAAATCTAATAAACAGTGTCAACATGGCCACTCAAGAAGGTCAGAGTTCATCAATTTGAAAACTTGCTTAGTGAGTTGAGCCCACTAGTGTGTATGACTAATCAATGTAATGAAAGTGATATGGTTACCAAGTGAGTGAGAGATTGACTACACTCTTTTTCTGTCTGCACAAGTTTGGTCTGTGATGTTTGACTGCAATTGCTTCAGCAAATCGTAGTAGATTCACTGTCCTTTGTATGTTTAATATTTTGAAGGATTTTAAAATCTCGACAAAATGACCCGTATCCACAAGGTGTTTGGTGATTGCGCTTTGTAAATATCTGCTTCCTTTTAAGCATACGTTTCTCAGAATATGCTCTGAAAACCGGATAGAAGCCCTCCTTTCCGTCCTTCCAATGTACTTTCTGCCGCAGGTACACGTAAATTTATACATGCAGTTGGAGGTGACATCATCAGGGTACTTAGCCAGTTTCGATTGGCTTATAGAGCATGTAGTGCTGTATAGTGTCACCAGCTTGGCTGCATGGAAGCATCTCTTATCGCTCCTTTCATCCTCTTGTCAATCTTTTGTGATATGGCTTTTCCTTTCTTCTTTTCAACTGTTGGATAGTTCGCTTTCTCACCTTTTTCTTTAGGTTAAATCCCCTTGGATACATGTTTTCCCTAAGGCATTTTTCAACAAAGCTTAATTTTTCTTCTGCCTTGTTAGGCAAACATAACTTCCTGGCTCTGTCGTAGAGTGTCCTTAGTAATCCCCGCTTGTAGCTATTGTAGTGAAGATATTGTCCAGTCCAGGTTTCTCTTCTGTAGATGGACTTTTCAACTGTTCCACCGTTTCTTCTTTTTACGTTTAGGTCCAGGAAATTGAACTCGTCCTTGTGTTCATATTGCATGGTGAATTTAATGTTTGCGTGGATCTCATTGAGGTGGTCAAATAATATGGATGCCTAACTCATGTCGTTACAAACAACAAACGTATCACCGACATATCTACGATAGTGTGCTGTTTCATTGATAGAGTCACTCAGACGCGTGTGTCGGAGATAACCCATGACGATGTCAGTTAGAATAGGTCCTAGAGGTGAACTCACGGCGACCGCATCATTTTGTAAGTAAAATTGGTTGTTGAATTTGAACTGGATGTCTTTTGTGGAAAGAATTAGTGGGCGCTTCATCTCTGTTTCCGGCAATGGCAATAGATCTGTTTGTCTACATATGATGTCTATTGTTTCCATCACTGGTACATTTGTAAATAAGGCAGTCACGTAGTATGACACTATTAGTTTATTTGATATATCAATGTGGTCGGCTTCTTTAGAAAGTTGGGAGGTGTGAATTGCGAATTTCTGTTGAATTGGCTTCAATGAGTCAGCTAGCCATCGATTTAGTTTGTGGCATGGAGAGTTTATCATTGATAATATGAGTCTTAAGGGCGTATTGGCCCTAAGGATGTTTGGCAGACCGTACATAAATGGAAGTCGTCCACCTTTTGACCTGAGTTCGTTGTAAGTTTTGTTGTCAATCATTTTCTTGATGAGAAGTTCTTTGAGGCATTTATTTACTTTGTTTTCAAATGACGTTGATGCATCCTTCTTATTTTTGTCCACATAAAATTTCTCGGGATCGTTAAGAATTGTCAACATTTTAAGTACATAGTCAGTTGTATTCACTATAAAAACATAACAACGATGTCATCATTTTCAGATAGTCTCTTTAGTGCCACTCTATGCTCCTCAATATGCATTTTCTGTTCTTCAGATGTTAATGTGTGGTATTGATTGGCTATATCGACCAGTTTGGACATTAGCCATCCTCTTTTGTTTTCGTCCACAGGTTACAGGTCAGAAAGTTGATGGTACAAGTATTCAAACTGCGTTCCTATATCTATACGGTTAATGTGCTTCTTGGGGATATGAAACTTGAATACCAAAGATAAGGCTTCTAATTCAATTTTGCTTAATTGCAATCTTATAATGTTTTCTTTATTACCTTTCAAACATTGAAGTATGAAATGTTATTATTTATAACCATTGTAATTTCAGGTAGGGATGTGCAGCTGATGAGAACCTGTGAAATAGAATGATGGCATCATTTTAGACTGTAAATCTGACCTTTCTTTCGCTATCGAAACACACATTTTTCTACGAGAAAGATAAACATACTTAGTCAACAGGCATTAGGGCAAAATAATAAAGTATATTTCTAGATATATACATTTTAATGTCACAAGTCAATTAGTATTCAAGATCAGATACGAAATAAGTGGCAGCCAAAAGTTGTAAATTCGTGTTACCTTAACAATATATACGGTTGAATCAACCAACAGTTCCGTAATTTGTCTCTATGATAAGTCATTTACTTCATGGGAGCGAGGAAGTGGGGAAGCGGGTATGTAAGTTTTCATCATTTTGGGTACATTCTTAAAAGGTTAATAGAAAATTAGAATGCTAAGTGTGAGAAGTAGGTGCAAGTGATTGGCATGAACTCTACACAAATATTTCCTTCTTAAAACCAACGTTTTAAAAATGAACAGCTGCATTTCAAATATTATAGGGATATAAGAAGGCAAACATGTACACATACAGACACTCTACTGAAGTGATGAACATTCTAAATGGGATGTAAATTGCTTTCTTTCTAAATACAACTCATTTAACCCCGAAACCACATGTCATTATCAGTAACATTTTGTTACCTTTGCAAACTTGACTATCGTTTCCTTCTGTGAAATTATTGACTGCTCCCACGTACACGCCCTAGTTATTACAGTGATTTACTAAATTCATCGATATCCACGTGAGCAGATTTCTAAGGTGAATTACACAAAAAAATAACAACGATACAAATATATGTACAATCTAAGTCGTTAACCAGATTATTAGTTGTTATTATCATTAACAGGCTTGAACACAAGCAATAAATCTACAATCTACCATGAATCTGTGCTGTACATTACAACATTCTATATTCCATAGAATACCAACTCTCTCTCTCTCTCTCTCTCTCTCTATATATATATATATATATATATATATATATATAATGCAAGAGATTTTAGAATTAACGTAAGTGGTGATGGGTCACTGTGATCTGAAACGGTAGGCTGTGGCAGGATTCGAACCAGTGGTGTCTGTAGTGGCAATAAAACACTAAGCTTAAAGCCAACAATCATAAAATCTTTTGAATAACCTATTCATCTCTATTTTTTATTCACACCAACGGATATACTTGGTTGAAATGTGAGCAAAACTCAATGCCTAAATAAATGTAGAGAGTTAATGAAATTATTCACTAACTGTAACTAGAAATCTTGCTTGATAAAGGGAAACTAGCATATTTTGAAGTCATGAATGCAGTAGAAATGCACCAGACAGAAGTTACTCGACAAAGTTCTTACGTTTCATTATGCACAAGACCTACTATCGAAAAGCGAAAACAAAAATTCTCATTCAGTTATAAAAACTACGTTGATATTACATTCGACACAGATTATCTGGATCATTTTTATTATCGGTAGGTAAATTTTATGAATTTCAGTGAATTTGAAAGTGAAACAGCCATGATTAGATCTGTGACACAAGAAAAAAGAGTAAGCTTATGTACAAGAAATATGAAAATCCACTCTTCTTTCAATACGAAATATTATCTATTTGACAATCAACTTGTTGCAAAAGTCATTTAATTTCATCAGGAGCTGACATCAGTTAGAGAATCATTGGAAAACCTGGGAGTACTGGACAGTTGTTTCGTCCTAGTTTGGGACTCTTCCTCAGTATACACCCAGTACCTTCCGGTTACAAGGTGAGCTTGTAGACCATTAAGCTATCGTGACCTGATACAAATTCCGACAAACCAACACTTCAAAGTTATTTAATTATTGAAGGTAACTAGTATATTGATTGTCAGCAGGATAGTCTATGTGTAACGGCTGGGATAAACTGTTAACCAGCAGGTAATGTACATTCTGATTTAGCAAAAAAGGAGTAAAGATAGGTCAAACTGTTTTCAGTAAGCAAGAACTGACGTTCTTGCTATAGTGAATAGTCATCCTTGTTAAACGTCAGTCAAGCAACTTACTAATTTACTGAATATTTATATAAGAAATAAAAGAAGTTTATGACGGAAACAGTATACATTGATTTTCTCAACTGAAATGAACTTATCAATGAAGAATTTTAAAGTAGATGGTAAAATGAACGCAAAACAGGCAGATTTTGAGGCGCGAAAGAGGTAGACATCTGTATTTTAACTAATTATCATCTGTATTCGACAGAATATGAAAGTTGTCCTACGCATGAAATTGTTTATGAAAAATAATTTTCACTTAGCTGATGATACTGAAAGACAAAATTGATTGTAAATTTAAGTCAAGTAATACCATTGGTAAGAGAACATAATACCATATGTCATTTTCAGTAAGACTATACACACTCATATGTTAATGAGCAACAAATCTTTGTTTCGAAAGTTATCAGTAAGATTTACTATATCGTATTACCTTGTGAAGATAGGTAGTTAGGCCTCGCGAAAAACGAACTTGGAAAAACTAGATAAGCCTCAAGCCAAGATGAGAGTGAATTTATCACAATCAACCTTCAACAGCTCCTACAAGATATGCATACATATACTTATTGACCTGAAAATGGGACTTGACTCCACCGATAGGAATGCAGTATGATTATTTCTGAACAAAAATGTAATTTTCTCCGAATATGATTGACCTTGCACCGATTACTAGTTTAGTGAAACAGTGAAATCTTTGAATTTACCGATCACTACACTCGTGTAGGGTGTTAAATCAGCTATAACAGAGTGATTGCTCATTTGGCATTCGGCAACTAGTGACATCCGACTATTCATCAAAAGACGTGTGTAATGTGCAGCAGTTCACTTCATTCTACCTCATGGCTTTAAATCACGACCACTGAAAGTATAACATATGAAAAGACTAACAAGTTTTCACCACAAGTGAAACTCAAACAACTGAGGTGGATAAGACACCTGCTATGTATAATATACCGTGGTCTTCGTCAATGAGCACTGTTAGCTGAAATGGGAAAACATTTAAGGTTGGTTATCAGAAAACACTCTACCAACGCATCAAGTCGTAGACAGTTGGTTGCCATCACGTAGAGAGGTGTAGACTGTCTAGTCGACTTCCTCAATGTCCTAGGAGTCAATAGCTGAGGACCATTGACGACAAGTCAGAAAATCTTTTACTCCTTGTCATCTTTAAGATTCTGAACTTACTCATTAATCTTTAGCTCATTATTCTCTCTTTGTTACATACATATTCACCCAGTTTGTTTTCATTGGGTTTCTTTTCTCTTCAATCATGTGCTGTTTTCAAAGTATGATAACTTAGACTGATGAACTTTTGTACAGTTTCTTTATTGATGAGTCAGTCAGTAATATCAAATGAATTAACCTATCGCGGAGTTGCCTTCTATTACAGTACTCAAGTCATGTATACTTTTTTTCTGTAGTTCAGTATCTTCATTTTGATTATTTTAATTAACCATCTTATGTTATCCATAAATATCAAACTGAAAGTAAACATTATGGTAGAACAAATTCCGTGTCACTAGAACATCAATGAACGATTCTACTAAATAGGCATACTTTTATGCGTATCTCAGCTGCACTCCTTATGATGGAAGCCATCATTTGATGCGTAACATACATAAAAAATACAACATTATCCATACATGTCATCTTGAAATTGAGCCTTATCGTTTGGAAACAAACACCAACAAAAAAGCCAGTAGATGAGCTGAATTAAGTGTCACAAATAAAGTGACTAGTTAATTTTTATAGGTAACTGTCTCTTTAAAAAAAATATTAAATGAAATACACTTACCAAATAGCTGTCATCCTCGACTGTATGTTGAAAACGTCTATTCTCCATGTCAGGTAAACCATCCACAGCATGCACAAGATTATGTTCGGATTTCGAAAACGGTGCTCTGAGAAAAGTATTTTGTGCTACAGACAGTGTAGGACGCCGTGTTGTATTGCTAAAATAATTATTCGATTGTGATATATGGTGTTGTTGGCGTGTTACAGAAATATCAGGACGTGAACGGAAATAATCACGTGATACTGCAGTTAGTGGTTTTGTCACAGAAGGAGATGAAGAATATTCGAATGGTGATTTATACGGAATTGGGCCATCAGGAATATATGAATGAGGTGGATCTACTTTTGTTTGACTTAAATTTAACTCGTTTTCATCATTTGAACTATTATTCAATCGTAGTGGACGCATTACAATGTAAGTGGATGGTGAATCACCAGTTTGAGATAACACAACTGATCTACTCATATGATTGGTTTGATTATCATGTGGTGATTCACTTCTTTGTAAGTGGTGTAGTGAACTCGGAGAATTTATTTGAGGTGATGTCGGAAAACGACTATTTGTTTGGTTAAATTTCCATTCATTTAAATAATTACTATTATTATGCCCAGTAGAATTTCCAAGTGGATCACAGTAGAATTCATCATTTAACTTGTCCGGACCACGTGGCTCATGGTCATGAACGTCTTTATATTGGCTACGACCTCTACGATCTACCATTTCTTGAAAAACATATGCTGAATGTTTAGAAACTGGAACATTAATATTTTCATCAACAATTTCTAAACCATGTGGATAATATGGACTTGTAGAACGTGAAAAGGGAGTTGGTGACTGTGGCAAAACGTCGCCATATCGAGAATTCCAATCACTATCACCTTTAAAAGATTTCAAACGCGTTGGTGAATTGGCTAAACAAGTATCTTTCGTTGTTGGCATACCATAACTCGGAAGTAATTTTGTGTCCGAAGTAAGATACTGAGGCAATGCTCTTTGTCGACGAAAACCCAAAGACAATTTACGTGCAACACCACGACTTCCGAAAGAATTGATGGTATTGTGTCTATAAGAGCCCGCCTCGACTTCTCCATAAGTCTGTTGAGAGGGAACAGTAACTTGTCTACCAGATACACCAAAAGGTGGATTATTTGAAGACTTTTCTGCACTATTTTCATCAGAATCTTGTTCCAAGTAGGATCCAGATGGAATGTCTTTATTTACGTCTCCAGAGGTCTGAAACATACGCTGGGAATTTGTTATGTTAGGATCACAGTTACAAAAGTAATTATTGTTATTGTTCGCATTTTCAGGCTGTACTTTTGGAAATAATTCATCCCCTTCTCCAGTCCCACATTCAGGCAACTGATTACTTGTACCATTAACCTTGTTTAAATAATTAGATGCATCATAGTCTCCTCCGATTCCACCAGAGGCACTCGCAACAGAAGAACCAGCACATTTAATTTTCCCAACACCCGCATCTTCATTTTCAGAAATAACGGAACATTCTTCATCTTCACCACCTGCAATCCAGTGGCTTGCAAGTGTAAGTGGAACAGCTTTCGTCATATCATGATAATTGCTATTTTCTCCTTGATCTACCATAACAATAACTGCATGTGTACAACTCGTATCACATCGTGTACCTGAACCAGCTCCAGCAACACTTGCTGTACTTCCGAGAGTACCTGCACTACTTCGCAGATGAGTTGCCCCAGCACTTATAGGACGGCGAGCGGATGAGTTGCTACTTGTAGTTCCCACACCAGGTTGAAGTTTATTTGGATCATTCGTACGATAAACACAACTATTCGGTACAGAGTTATCTGTAGGTTGGCAACCTGAGTCTGTATTACCACCCTTCGCTGAAGGAGACGCACGCAAAGCTTGAGAATGTGACGAATAAAACTGGTCGGTCTTACCAGCATCTCTTGAAGCGGCTTCACGGGCTCTTGCAGCCCCAGCTTCTTTAACAAGCCTAGGAGTAGTAGCAGGTCGGTGTGACCGTGCACCCGTATTTGGAAATGATTTACGGGGTGTGTTGTTACTTTGCTGCTGCGAATTATGGTTACCTACAAGTTCATCAACAGCATTACGGTGATGCGAAACTATACCAGATCGTGGAACCATAACAGCACTATTTGAAGCACCATGACCGGCGGTAACGTCAAAAGTTTTTCCTACATTAGGCGCCGATGTATTTGCACCAGGACCCACAACGGCAAGGTTAGAACTACTTCCGGCCAATCTGTTTCCACTCACGTATCCGCTAGATCCCACCACACCTGTTGCACCAGCAGCGCTTGTACGATTCTGACCCATTCCGGAAACAATACCCTTGCGTGGCTTAGAAACATCCAATGCACCTTGTGCTGCAGCCACAGTAACTTGAGCAACCTGTTGGGCTGTTGCCACGGCTTGTGTTGTATGATGTTGATTAGTTTCATTAGCACCACCAGTAGTATTAGGTTCGACTACCGTCTCCCAATCGAATGGATCTGCCTCATTTATTCTACGACGCTCCATATATGCATTAAGTAAGGAATGTAAATACATGTAGTCTGGTCGATCGAAATAAGTCAGGTTTTGAATATGTTCAAGAAATGGTCTGAATTCACGTGGCATAAACTTCAGTAATTGATTATGATCAAAAGTCTGCTTCATCAAACCAACCTGTTCTTTATCTTTAATTTTTCGCCAAGGTAATTCGCCAACAATAAACTCCCCAAGCATATAATACAGTGACCAAAGGTCATCATGTCGTCCAAGTTCTTTATTTAAATGAGCATTAACAGAAGCATATCTGACAGTACCACGAAAACCAGCCACCTGTCTTGGGGCGCGAATATCACCATTTGCTGTTGTGTACTGACGAGCTAATCCAAAGTCTAGAAGTACAATCTGTCGAGGATTCACTGCCCCTGGACCAATCCCAGTTCCTAGAGCGAAGTTCGACGGTTTTATATCTCGGTGAAGAAATCCGACATTATGAACATTCTCAATAGCAACGAGCATTTGACGAGCTAGTCGTACAGTCGTACTAATAGTGAAGCAACCACGACGAGTTGACCGCCTTAAGTCCGCCAAATTTTTCCCTTGTAGACTCATTACTATATAATTAAATTGCTCATTCCTTCCGCAACCAATAAAGCGACATGTATGCGCACGCCCTTGAAGTCGTTTTAGTACAGCAACTTCCATTTTTAATACTTGTTTTGGTTGCTGGGCCGATTCGACTTTAACAGCAACCTTTTGCTGTGTTACCATATCAACTGCTTCATATATTTCACCGAAACCACCACCACCAATTTTTTTATAAACTCTCCACCTTTCCTTGATTACAGTGCCTGTTGGGACAATATCACTACTTGTAGAGGTCATAACGAAATGTAAATTCCGCTAGGCATGTAAGCCTACAGATGACTGTCTTCTCAGACACAGCAAAGTCTAAAAAGAAAACGTTTTGCGTCAAAAACTATCACAACATAAAACACAACATTTTTTATAGGTGAAATATAATAAAAGTCACGCCGATAAAATAAAACGAAATTTCACCCGAAAAAACAACGGACTCAGCTGTCAAACTTCTCAGGGAAACAGGCGGAAAATGAAGACAGTTCAAGTTACTTGCTTATTCAATAAAAAAGTCAATATTTAAAGAAACGTAAATTAGCAGTTAAAGCGAAACTATTTCACATACCATAGTGAAACACTTGTTTTCAGAGCTCCAGTTATTTCCATTTGAGTAACAGAATCTCTTCACAGTGTACTTAATAACATTGACTGTTTTCAAACAAATCCATTTAAACTTTAGGCAGGATAAACATTTATCAACATGAACACACCTGTGTTCACAAAAGTAAGTAGCTTGCGTTTTATCGAGGAACTGGTGGTAGATTAAGTTCATATTAAAAAAACATATAATCAATTCAAAATAATATAATTCTACAAAATGGGTTGCTTGTGACTATATTACATCGGAGCCACAAAAACGACAATCTATTCCAAATAAATTAAACCAAATCTGGTGAAAATTTACATATGAAACTGTCTCAGCGATAAGGATAAAAATGTCTAATAAACCCAAAGATTAAAAATGCAGATCCAGTAAATTTATTCCCATCATGGATAAAATTTATTTTGATAAAATCTCAGTGTTATGCGGTGATATTTACTAATGACGTTTCGAGGACAATTAGTTGCTCATAATCATACCAAGATACTCACTCATACAACTTTCTAACTTCGTTTATATAATTTCAGTAATTTCATATCTTGATTTGAATGTTAGTAATATTTTCCATATCTCTGATATTGGTGATGAGTCATTCCTAATGCAAGTGTTGGGTGTAGATCCCATGAACAAAAATTCAGTAATCAAGCTCTCTCTCCACCTACTTATATTACTTTTCGAAATTTTAACTCTCTCTCTCTCTGACCTTATTGTGTGGTTGTGTGTTAATGTATGTAGTGCAATTGCTGATTTTGTTTCTCTAGATTATTTATCTTCGCGAGGTCAATCATTCTAACCTTAGTTAAATTCTTATGTTCTGATAATCTAACTGCCTCGATCTACTGGTTCAGTTTACATAATCGACTCAACTCACAGTCATTGCAAGATTTTTTGTTTATTGTATTATTTTTTCTAATTGGATCGACAAGGTTGTTTAACCTATAGAGCTTATCCCTGAGTGAGTTTGTAGGTTTAAATGCTACCCTAATTCTCTCTCTACTAAGAAGCCCACATAGAGTTTCAGAGGTAGATGATTTAGATTCTCTCCTATTCATTTTATCGTCACTAGTTTCACTACTATTTTTATTTTCCTTGTTACATTTTGTGATATTCCCAATGAATTTTATGGAACAGTTATTTGACACCAACGCTTCTTCTATCGTTTTCATCTCATCATTTAGGTTTTTGATGTACTAATTAGTGTTGTTGCTTGGTTTGTCAGACATTTAACTAAGCCTACTTTCTCAGATAACGGATGAGATGAATTAAAATCTGAATATCTATTAAAATACATTGGTGTCTTGTAATCGCCAGTGTATAGTTTCCCTTCTTCTATTCGATCTATTTTACAATCTAACAGATACTTCTACTTGTTCATTTTCCGATTCTAATGTGAATTTTATTCCCTCTACTTGTGAGTTTATATGTGAAGAAGGTAGAGATATGTTTTGTTTTTAACACTGTGAAAGTATCGTCCACATATCTTCACCATACCTTTGGAGCAGGATTAAAAGAATTAAGAGCAATATTTTCCCAGCTGTCGATAAAGATATCTGTTACGACAGGGGATATTGATGATCCCATTGCTGCGCCTTCTATCTGTCTATATATTTCGCACTGGAATTTAAAGATAATAGATGTGAGATATAACTGAATTCCTAAAATAATTTTCTCAACGGGGAGCTCTGCCCTATGATTAAGTTCAAGATCAGCAGTTAGTTCTCTTCCAACTGCTTCTAAGTCCATAATGACTGGTAAGTTAGTAAAAAGACTAGTTACGTCAAAACTAACCTTTTTTAATTATTCTCTAGTTGAATGTCATAGGTTTCCCATTTATTATGAGTTAGTTAGCCTACCAATCAAATCAAGAGATGAAATTAATGGAATTATATAAGCGAAGTTAGAAAGTTGCATGAGTGAGTATCTTGGTATGATTATGAGCAACTAATTGTTCTCGAAACGTCATTAGTAAATATCACCACATAACACTGTGAGATTTTATCAAAATAAATGTTATCCATAATTCAAGTATACTCTATCACAGTGCCCAAGTTTTATTTCTACATTCAACAAATTTACCTGACACTGTGAAACAGATACAGTAATACAGTCTCCATAAGTAAAACTAGCAGAGAAAAACCCCGTATCGAATAACCTTTTTGTGACACAGTGAGTCAGGTTAACTTATCTTAGATGAAAAAAAAATCTATTTGTGAAACACACACTGTTAAAAACAAATTGATTAACCTCAATTTAGCAAATGCGATTTCATTTCAATCCTAAAGAGTTATTTTGCTGCAAACCTTCAGATTTCTACTATAAAATTCAATGTATAATTTTTAATTGTGCGATAAACTCAAAATGTCTCGTATTTGTGAAATACAAAGTAAGCAACTTTCCTGAGGAATCTTTCTTCGAAGAAACCCTTGAATTCACTGATAACTGGAGGTAATTTCGATTGTTGAACTACACTAGCTAAAGAACTAGTAGAAACCTAGTAGCACTGGGACTTCACACTGCTATTCAGCAGTTACAGCTGTCACTATATATTCACATTAAAATGAAATGAATATCAAGAAAGAAATAGAAATGAAGATCGTACAATCAAAAAGGAACATTAGTCGTTCGCCTCATCCTACTTTGAGACTTCTGAATGTGTAATCTCAATCGAATGGTGAACGCAAAACAAGACCACATTTCGTGGGGAAAATGCTGTTTTTCACCTATCACATTGGGATCTTATGCTTAGCGATTCTAATTTGGTAATTTGAGATGTGGCATAGCTATCATTCAGAGTCATCACTAGATATTCATACTCACTGACGACTCGGCTAAATGGATGCGAAATGAAACATGGCATAAATCAACATAAGTGAACTTCTGAAAGGTATGACAAGCCGAAAATAAAAAGAAGAAGCGAACAAACCGACAAACTAACCGTATCAGGCAAGAGTGATATTTCTATTCTGTCCAGCTAAATCGTATCTATAAGTACAGTAATTAGTGTGATAGTTACGCTGCTCAAACCAAATCTCTAAGATTTCACTAGCCAAGAATATTTCTTCACCCAACCTACTTGAAACCTTTTTACCAACTTTACGCCGACTCAGTTCAATATGTAGAAGGTGTACATCAGGTGACAAAATTTACGAATTTATCACAGGTAAACAGTAACCGACAAACACAAGTTTAGATGGAATTCAAGGAATAAAGGAAAAGGGGTGGGTTTTACAATAGTATTACTCATGAAAGATATACTCTCCGAACAATTTGCTAAGAGGCTACACAAAAATGCATGAAGTGGTTTTCAGTAACACTACAATCACGGAAAAACGATCTCAAGAAAAATACAATAGACTAGCTTTACTTTCATCAAAAGTTGAGGGTAGACTGTTTGACTACCTATCAATGATCAGCTGTAGAGCATAACAGCAGACCTCTTCTAGACTTATGGTAGTGATACAGCGTTGAGTTGCGGTCTGTTACAGTTCTAGGTATTCGGAAACCATAGACATTATAAAAAGCCACCAATAGATGGAATCAATAAGTAAGGACTCCAAAATTCAGATGGTAAGTCTTTGATAAAAGAGGTTAGCCAGCCTGAGAAATTACAAGCCTTTACCGTCTGATGCGGCTGGGTTAACCCTGAATTGCTAAGACGGGGGAGAATTTTATTATAAGTTGGAGGGTGGCACGGTAAAGTCATAGCCATAATCCATCTAGCTCTTTGATAAGATCTAGGTTTAAAACAATTAGGAGATGGATATTATCTGATGACCTCCATTTTCTAATAACACCAAACAAAGTTCTGGTCACTTTGCTGGTGTTCATATAACTACTAGAACGTGTGATGGGAATGTTAGGTGATATAACTCAGGATCGATAGCAGGGATGCAGATGTATGAGTGGTGTTTATTTTAATTGTGATAGCAATTCTCGTTGTAGCCTTTCTCTCTCCCATCTTAATGAAAACATACGTATACGTTAAGAAAGGATTTAGTAATCCCGCGTTCTTTTATTTCCCTAAAGAAATGGGATCTGAAGACTTAGCAGAGGAAACTGGATCAAACTAAGATGGACATGGTATAACAAAATCCTGATTCTTAAATGGTTCTTAATAAAATATGATAAAGCTAAAATGTGTCTGGGAGAAATGGAAAACTACCTGAAATTATTGAGAAAATGCGTGAGTTTGTCTGTATTTTTTTTCATTATTCGAACTGTGTAAATATAGTGGAACTTGAGTAATCTTTTTGGTATTAGTATTACGTAGAGCTAAATGTTCTAGGTGATGTTAGGCAAAGTACTTTGGGATACGGTAAGACTGATCTCTACGTACACAGTCCTTCGCAGGGTAGTTCAAGTAAACAGAGAAAGTAGCCTAAACCTTATCAAAAAGATTAACGAGACCTAACAGATTGTCCAGAAGAACCATATTAAATGTTTAGGAATTACTAGTTCAACCTAGGAATCGACTTACGTTTGTCGGTTTATATGTTCGATATTTCTAATAAGTAATTGCTTAGCTAAAGATGAGAAATATACCACTTGGTCTAGATGGACGAAAACCCTTAATGTATGGGAATGCAACAGATGGATATTGATTAAACAAATTACACTAGCTGTTTCAGTATACTCGCTTTATATAGACAGCTAGGTAGAAAATACTTTTAGCTCATGGATCTTTCTACAAACTAGTCTTTTACATAATCAAAGTTATGCGGTCATCAACCTTAAATAGACAAATTTTTCGTGAATTTTCCAAAAAACAGCAAGGACTTCTTGTGATGGTGTACAATACTCCCATTAATTGGCAAGTAGAAGTTATTACATAACCCAGGAATCAAGCAACTCTAGAAAAATTTATCCTAGTTACACCCGTATTCCCCTATTCCGACTTGTCAGCTAATGTTCAGATAGGAAGAGGGAGTGAAGTAACCCTAGGTCATTTTATTTCCAGCAATAATTGGTTTGTAAAAACAATATATTTTAAAATATTCTTGGTAAACAAAACTTGTTACCCAATGAAAATTTACTTTATTGCTTCCCCGTGGCATAGATATAAACAGATAAAATGTATTGCTGCAATTACCCCACTATTCCCACAATAATCAAACACTAGATTTTACAGTGACTGGAAACGCAAATGTGTAAGACACGATATAATTCGATTTATTTATACGACCAGAAACTAGTTGCTTGTTAGTGGCTGCTGCAGTGCCAGGTTTTGGCATTACAGATCTTTATGCACACGTCTCATTACGCACAAGGTTCACTTACTCGGATACAGTGTAAAACCTTGTGGGAAATGTTGAAAACAGAAGAATTTTACAAAAAAAGGCCAAATAAGCAATTATGTATTCGACAGACTAGTATACTTATAACTGGTCTCACGGATCGTGACTGCCCAGCTAGCATTTTGTTCAGGCGCATTGCAGGCTTTTTGGGGCAGACTTCGGGGGCATTGCAGACTTTTGGGCAGACTTGGGCAAATTGCAGACTTTTAGGGACAGACTTAGGGCAAATTGCAGACTTTTGGGGGCAGAATTTGGGCACGTTGCAAATTCCGAGGAAGATTTAGGGCGAATTGCAGACTTTTTAGGGCAGACTAAGGGCGAATTGCAGACTTTTTGAGGCAGACTTCGGGACACTGTCTCACGTAAGTCGATCTACTCGAAGTTTTCGCCCCAAAAAGTCTGCAATGCGCCCGAAAAAACTGCTAGCTGGGTGAAAACGGACCACTCATAGTATACAAAAAAATCACTAAATTTTGAAACATATTGCGCACTGGGAGATGCGAATGATTTATTTTATTTTTTTTATTATTTTTGATTACAGGTTGATTCCACACCGTATTTTCGGTACAAGTATGTAATTTTCAGCATGGATAACGGTAGCCCAAATTAAAAAGCAGCAAAAATTTCTAAAAAGCCAGGAAGATAATGCAGTTCTTTCCAAAAATGTTGGAAGTAAAGAAATAACCAATCTCCAGAATACTGTAGTCTTGTAAGTTTTATTAAACGTGGTGTTTTGATTTAAGCCTTTGTATCTGTCAGTTACAAATTAACCACTAATTAAGCCATTCAATATACTTTATAGAGAATCAGTAAAGTGTTGTTTACCTTAGTTTGGATATTTATACAAGTTAATATGTAAAATAGTGTAGAAAAGCAGTATATTGATACTCCATTTGAAGATTGCGGTTTTCGGTTTTCAAGGGACAACCAAATGCATTCACTCATGCTAAGAAACCATGAACTTGCGTTTTGTGAGTGATTTCACTCACTGTTTCTTCATCTTGAAAGATATCTGCAATTTGTAAATTATGAAAATTTTTGTTTGCTTTAGCTTGGTCTCCTAGTAGAAATATTTGTTTGAATGACGGATCTGTCATCAGAGGTGACAGTTCCACTTCTTTCTTCCATTTTTCTATTGATCAAAGAAACCCAAGAGAGGGGGAAAAATCAGATATTCATGGCACAAGGACGACGATTCCAGTCGATATGAGATTTATGAATTGCCGATTTTTATTCCAATTACCAATACAAGAACAAAAGCTTTCTCAGGTAAAGCTTGAAGATTTTCGTTTTGTTCCTAATGTTTCTACAGCACCTCAGCACGGAAAACCTATGATGTGCTGATGCAGCCAAACTTTTGCAGATATGAGGTCCTAAATGCTTGAGTTACACAATTCCACTGGTTAACAGTATTTGTGTATTATTAGGTGTAACAAAACGGTGGTTACTTTGGCTTATGGTTCGGAGATTGTTAATATGAGGGGATTTAAGCCCATACTAAACCACCGGAGGTTGGACGTTACTTTGAATGAGTCAGCGACACCATTTCACAATTCGAATGGAGGAATTAACTTCCTAGCGCAAAAATTTCGACCACTGTCTGCTAACCTAATGGTGATTTTCCAGAGTTCGCACGGTTCTGCAGGCGAGAAGCGGACAGGCAAAATCTTTGCGTACAATGCAGAATGCTAACGTGAAGCCACTTATCAAGTGCCAGTATGAAAGTGGGAATGGATTTATTATTATTCACTTAGGCCTATAGTTGAGTACACGACTTCAACAGCACAACTCTATTCAAAACCATTCTCTATAGTCCTCTTCACTGGCCCTGCTATAGCCCATGAGCTCTAATCTCCACTCGTATCATCTCCTCCATGTAAACCTCTAGGCCACTACAAATCGTCCTTCCCCACTCGGTTTCCACTGGGATAATGACCTAGTCATCAATGTCAACCAACAGTCTCTTCATAGTGTGTCCATTCGGTCGCCATTTCCTTCTGAATGCTTGTTAAGCATCAGGTCCTTAGAAGGCTCGTTCCCTGGTCATCTGGTCTTCAATATAGAGTCAGCGATGGCAGCTATTGGTTAAGGTCAGTAACTCCTTAGGAATGCTTTTCATCACACTCAACGTTCCCAACCCATATAGAAACACTAACTTATTTGATACTGATGCGAAAAATCAAAATCCTGTTATTGGTGGTAAAAACAGAAGATATCCCCAATAACTTCAGAATGATGAGGGCCTGTCTGTCAGATACTGGCTTTGACATCCTTATCCGTGGATTCCACAGTAGCTGAAACGATGCTGACTAGATTCGTAAAGCGAGTTATCTCTTTCAAATTCCTGCTGTTGATGGTTATTGGTGCTTGTTTTTGTTTTAGTATCTTCACCGCTTCCATCATCCCTAAGTTTACTTGAAGTCCTGTGACAATGCAGTTGAAGATTGAGCGATCAATTCATGGTTGTTTACTAAAGCCCAACTCTATATTTTCGCGGGAGTCATCGATTCTCCAGTCATCGAATCACCGTTCGCTGTTCGTTAGAAGAAAGGGAAAACAATCAGAAGTATTATTGTGATTTATTTTTATGACATTTATTCCTAGAATTTGTGTACAATAACCTAATGGTTAGCTCTATATTGTTGCAAGAATAAAGGGTTCTTGAGTAACCAATTTGTGTTCTTTTTTTGCGTTGGTTACTGAGCATAGTTCTTGAAAGTCTTCCAGAGACAGTGTGAAGTCCAGCGTAATTAGACATTGGCAATGACATCCTATCTTCGCCGCCTCTTTTACGAACTTGTTGACTTTCGGCTGCAGGTCTTCGATTTTGTGTATCATTAGACATAATAATTTATATTTCGTATAAACGGGTAGGTTTACATGAAATGCGTGCCATTTTGACGGGCATGGCCAGATATGTTATAAATAGCAATCATGAAGTATCATATATTAAATCTTTTTCAAAAGTCTAAATGCAAATTTTCATAACAAAAAATTGGAACAGGTCCTTAAAAGTGATAAATTGTAAATGCTTTACTAAGGTCACCATCAAAGTTGACCGTCAACCCAGACTTCGTTCCGTTTCCTGCTGAAAGTTATGGCAAACCGATAAACAATATATATTCGGGTAACTGCTATGACCCGACGAGATTGAACGCTATTTTAGGAAGAAAGGAACTGTGGAGTATGTAACAACATAATCGTACACCCTTTGTAAGATGTTGAAGTTAGAGACATTGTACACGACTTTTGTTTAAAACCATTCATGCTGAAGTTCAGATAACCTCCGAGTACAATCTGAAATACAGTGTACCGTTGGTAGCTTCGACTTCTCACTGGTCATTACTGTCGGCTTGCTCCACTCATACCGTGTTGTATACTTTGGATTTATTGCAGGAACCCACTATCCTTACTGGAAGACAACCCTACAACCGGCACACAGCTTCTACCAGTAAACACCATTCCAACAGTGAATACTTCTGTGGATTATATTAATAATTTGTAGCCGTGGACTTTAACAGTATACCCAAGTAACCTTTTAATTCATACAAATCATTACTTTATTTTTGACATTATATTGTTACACTATCACCTCATTGACTTGGATTTTTACTCACATACTTGTTATTGAGCTCGCTAGACAGTCCCCTACAGAACATCTTCGGAAGCTTTAAACTGGTATAAAATCCAATTACGGTTATACATCGTTGGAAGTGCATTTGAAAGACAAATACAAGAAGGAGCTATAGAGTCCTTGGAATGACAACATTTGCAATGTATGATGCCAAACATATTGGTCTTACCATGAAAACCATGACGTTTTCAAAGAAAATATAGCTTTGTTCAAACACTGATGTTATTGTCGTGTGTTTTTTCCAACAGAGCAAACAGAATTTAAGTGAACGAAGAACACGAATGAAGAGATTCAGCTTTAGCTTTATTAAAGCTCTAGGTAGTTGAGAGCATAATGGTACTTAGACAACAAGATTATCATGAAGTATACGAGTGAGAAGTTGCTTCAACGATCTGAAAGATTAGAACCTGTAGGATATGCTGTCCTTTGAGATGGCTCCCAAATTTGTGTAGGGCCCATGGGTAGCATCTCGACAAGAAGGCTGATCCGAATTGTAGATGTGACGAGTAAAAGCATTTTCAAAAAATTTGAACTTATAAATTCCTTACTGTTTTCTATTTTAGGCACCTAAAGTTATTTAAAATCCCGAGCCACCAAAACTGCATGTTGCTATCCTACAGATCAGAGCGATGCACATTTTATTTTTTTATTTTATTTTTGAGCGATGCACATTTATGACAATTTTCATATTTCCCAACCAGCGTGAGTCAGCCGCCCTCGTTTTTTGATGTTAAGGCTAATGACTACTTGTCATAACTATAGATATAGTATTCCACTGCTTTTCAACCCGTCCTGGTAACGCAAAATACTGCACATCAATGGATTTAATGACAGATGTTTCCAATTAGGTCACCTGATACATCGGTGGTTGAAGACATTCTAAGCAGTGCTATCATTAGTAGTTATCACAAAACGAATAGGAAAGTAAGTTTCCCCTAAACATTAGGAAGCATGTAAAGCATCGGTATCACAGAAAATAAGTCCTAGATTACTCAACAGAGTGAAGCCAATAACAGTAAAATTATTCTGAAATTTATGTAGCATGACACTCAGGTAAAACACCAGTCTGCGTAAATGCCAAGGCCAAATTCAAAAGACAAATATTTATAAGGTAAAAGAGAATCAACTGTCATAAACTGTTAATGTATAGCACTTACTACGGTGGACCTCACGCTGTCTCTGGAAGACTTTCAGAAACACTTTCTATTAACCAACGCGAAAACCAGAACACTGACTGGCGACTCAAGAATCCTTTATTCTTACGCCAATATGTAACCAACGATAAGGTTATCACAAAAGGTCTAAGAACAGATGTTATAAAAAGTCACGATAATACTTCCCATAGTCTCTTTATCTTCGTCTGAACGGCAAGCGATGAGACGACAACTGCCCGAGAGATGACTCCCGCCGAAATGGGAGTTAGTTTTGAGTAAAAAACATGAAATGACCATTCAAACTTCAACAACATTAACACTCCCCGGCAAAATACGAATCCATCCCCTTTTTCCCATCACGACCAATACACGTTGACTTGGATGCCATTGCGAGAACCTGGGTCACACGGACAGAGCTGAAATGGAAAACAAACAGAAAAGCCAACACACCACAAGCATACTCACAGCACAATCTCACACATCGATGGTGACCTATGCCTCCAGATAAAGCCTCTTCTTGACATCTTGCAACACAATCGCCACTTGCCAGAATGACTCTTGCAGAATGCAACGTGACCATAGCACCACCTCATGATACTCAACGCACATCCTCTTATCTACTCACTACCAATTACCACTGCAATCCTTTGTCACTTGTTCTGCCTCAGTTCTAGTAACGGTGACGTATGCGAGCCCCAGTCGTTTACACTGTTTCTCCACGGCGCGGGAGACCACAGCTAATCATTATCTCCGTATGCATATCACTCTCAGCACTAGCCTCCCCGGCGTATACAACTTATCTGCTGTCCTTAACACCAATCAATTCACTCACGGATGTGGAAGACTCGAAACAACTTCAGAAGTAATCACGACGAAAGGTTTAACAAAATTATGCAATACAACAAGGTACGAAAACAACGAGTAAACACAATGAATCCAAAAACACCAATTGATAGGACACACCACAAATATGTGCAAACAGTACAAATAACCTCGCGGATCATGTTTTGGTGTAATTCCTTTGAAGAATTGCAGGACTTACACCAGTCCGCCTGCAATCCTTCTCAGGTTGACGATTGTAAGTTGTTGAATGTCCGGACACAAACAAGATTAACCAACAATTGCGATAATTGGAACTCACACAATTA